TCTTATTAATAGACTTAATGTGCTTTCATTTCCATCAATCTGTGGTGGAGCAGTTGAAAAACATATTTAATGATGAAAAAGCTTTGCAAAAAGCAAGATAATGGCTGAAGTAAAATCAAAAGGAGAGTAAGAATTAAACCTTAAATTTGAAGAGCTGCTTAAGTTGGGATTGGGTCTCTCATTGAAATAGTAAGCAAACAAATCCTTGATTCCATTGTAGATCCTTGAATCTTACTGAAAACATGGACAAAAGTAAAAGATATTGGAGTCGTTGAAACTGTTGTCCTAGCTTCTGTAATTGCAAGAACAAAATAAACCAAAAGGATGTCAAATGGAAAAATAGAATACAAACTCTATAAATAACTCAAAATTGACTAATTTTAGAATAACAACACTCAAAAACAATTTTTCAGGTAACCAAGTGGAAAGTATACATTGCTTGAGAAGCTAAGTAAACTAATGGTTTCTCAAAGCTTGTCTTTGGTTCATTTGAAAGCAATTTGCACCCTTGCCATCCATATATAGTTGATTTTCAGAAGTTGATCCATCTGTCAAGTTCACTAAAGCACTTGAGGAGTCCATTAGGGGAATTTGATAATATGCCTATCTGATTTGGCGATGAATTAGAGTTGGCACCAATATTCCTTAGAATAGAATTGGCCGAATGTAGCAATGAATGTCCAGCTGCAAGTTATAGATAATTATAAGATTTATTTATTCCAAATAAACATGTTAATTGAGTTATAACAAAATAGTCTGGAAAAAAGTGGATTAAGCTTTAATTGATAAGGCTGCACATACTAACAATTCATAAAACTTGTAAACTCTTCAATAGATATTCTCTCTTGTAATGCATTTTTTTCTAACAGGAAAACTAAAAAATATTGTCTTACACTTACCATTTGAAATATCACTCATGGGTGTTCCTTGACTCATTCAAAGTTTGCACCCTCTTGTTGCATCTAATTCCTATGGTTTCATTAAAAGCATCATTTGTGCCTGAATAAACAATAACAAAGTAGTAACATAACAGGACAACTTGGCATTAAGATGTAACGTAGATATGTAGTTTGGGGACTGAAATTGTTCTCCAATATCCTACAAAAAAATTTTAAGAGTAACATGTCTTAGTAGCTCTATTTTATACCTGCCCTTTTTTTAGAAATATAATTGTTACATTTAAAAAAAAGAATCAAAGTAGAATACTACCTAATTATTTTCAGAACTATAATCGTTGAATTTAAAACTAAAGGAGTCAAAGTTCAGTAAGCCTAATTTGAATTATAAGTGCTCAAGAAAGATTCTATAAGCTTCTAAAATTGTTCATGTTATATACTTAAGATAAGTCATTTTCCATAATTAACGAATACTAATACTCAAATGAGTTATTATGTTGAAGATAATACCTTTTCAGTTTTATCAAGCCGCTTCATAGATTTACTATAGTTTGGGGATTGCAGCTGTTCTCCATGGCCCTACCGAAAAAAAGTTAAGATTAAAATGTCTTAGTAGATCTTAAACATGCCTTTCATAAAACAGTTTTTGTTGCATTTAGAAATTAAGGAACTAAAGCTTAATAATACCTGTATTTTTTTTAGAACTATAATACGTTGGCACAACCACCTTCACATATTCATGACAATAGTCACACCTAAATTTTCCCCCAAATAAAAATTACCTGCTCATACTTAGACTCAAGAGATAAGACCTGATCTATGGAGTCTAGTCCAGTTTCAGCAGCCATCTTTTGTACCTACAAACCATGAGACCAAAATTAAGCTATCTTTTCAAGTTTGTGAGTAAGATCAAAAGCTCAAAGAATAATTCGTAGCATAGTAAGTAATATAAAAAAATTCACGATCTTGGCATTGGGATCGATCTCATGCTTCACCTTCCCCTTCTTCACGATCTTGGCCATCACATTCACCCTCCTCCCCCTCCTCAAATCAAAACTCATCGCTCTCGATCCCCCCAAAATCCTAAGAGGCACTCCGATCACTCCACTCCTCGAGCTCCGTAGGAGATTCGAGACCGAAGCCCTGGAGCCAGAGGAGAACGCCGCAAGCGAAGACATCAGGGGGGGAATCGAGCTTCGATCTGCGGGGGCTAAAAAAACCCTAGAAATGGGGATCTAATGAATAGAGACAGAGAGCGGCATTGGAGAAATCGAAGACTCCAAGCGGGGATTGCTGCTTCTGCTGCTGAGGACGACGATGATGATTTCTTGAGGCGTTTGAGCTTAGGTTTGGGGATCGGCGATTGTCTATACTCGGGGATCGGAAGGCAGAGATCGTTTGCGATGATTTCTTGAGGCGATTTTTTTATCTCTGACGAATGAGGGTCGGGGTGAGAATTATTGGGGGTGTTTTGAAATTTAAATTTTGAGCTGATACAGATATATGACAACAATGATTTGAAATTGGGGGAGATTCGAATTTCAAATTTTTAGCTGTGATTTAAAATTGTGGGAAATATGTCAGTGGAAGGAAGTGGGCTCCACAATCAATTACTGTTCAATTTACTGTAGCATGAACAGTGATTCTCTGGTTCTCCCTTTTGTATAAAGGAATAGATTCCAAATTAACAACACTCAAGTTTTTTTCCCCCTTTTCCAGTGACTCAGTTTTATTCTCTCCAGGTAAGAAATTTCTATTCATCCAAATTATGAATGCCTTCCAAGTTATATTTGTTTAATAACTGTAACATAAGTGCTAATTTCTTTTCATATTCAATCCTTCAAGTGTGTTACTTCTTCTAATATATGCTTAAACCAGTTTATCACATTTATTCACTTTTTTACGAAACCTTTGAAATCCAACCATGCAACGCTCATCTTTGCTTGCAATTTGAATGTCGGGTTATGAGATATTTGGATTTTGTGGTGTTTGGTTGGTAATTTTTTTTTTAAAGTATGAAGTTCAAGATGTTTATCTATAATACATCAAATAAATAGGATTATTGATAATGAACCTAAATATAGCTCCAAAATTTATCAAGGTAAGCAATTAAACTTGTGACCGTCTAATTTTCATGGTGCTTTAAAGAAGGAAATTTGGGCAAGTAACCTCACAAGCACGAAGGTTAATGAAGACTAACCAAAACCGAGAAGAAAAAATTGTGAATAATTACGAGCGAGATAAAATCATATTTAAGTCATTTGATGGACGGACATCAGAACATTTGGAATATGGGATATGGAATATGAAAAGTGTTCTGATATGATTTGTACTACGTGCTTCAAGCATATGGAGAATCTGGAGGGAATAAAAACATTGGCGTACAGACCAATTATCACGGTTAAAATCACGTTTTTCCTAGTTGATGAGCAATGTTTCTGATGCGACTTTTTCTTAATCTTTATGCATCGGATATGAGTCCTACAAATAATTATTGTCCTTTATTTGATCTATATGCATATGATTAACGACCCATATTAAGACGGAGCCTTTCATTTGAGTTTCATGATTTATTAGTTCCGTACAAACATGAACCTTCTGCGTACTTTACTAGAAACATTACGGAAACCTCTTTACTTATCCAATCCTTACACTTTTTCGGCACGTTCTTCTTCACTAATAACATACACAAAAATAGAATATCAAGAGGACTCAAAACCAATATTTACATTCGACAAGGACTTCCATGTAAATTTCGCAGGGGGCTCGAACGCGTACTATATAAAGCCCGGCACATCTCCAGGACCGCGAAAATAATCGCCATTTTTAGGTTTTAGAGAGAGAAAGTGAGGGAGATGAGAGGGCTCAACGATGGCGGAGCTTCTCCTTCGACGGATCCGGCGGCGTCTTCGTCCTATGGATCTCTCGCGATATTACAGAATTACCCTCTGATCTCAGCTTTCGCGGCCTTCGCCATTGCTCAGCTCATCAAGTTCTTCACTTCTTGGTAATTCCTTTCTCCTCTCGTTATACTGTACCAATTTGTTCATGAATCGAGGTATTGGTTGGAGAAATGGGTAAAGAAATGATCTTGAATTCATAGGTTAGGGCTTTGTCGTTCTTGCCGTCGTATTCGTTCAAGATATCTAAATATTATTAGGGTTTTTACATTCGTTGCCCCCAAAACAACAATATTTGCAAATTTGCCCTCTATGTCTAGATACTTGCTAATTTACACGAAATTCTGCAACGTTGAGTTAAAATACTCCGGAAGTTGACTTCTTTGTTAGTTTTCGGACGGTGGAAGTGGAAAGACTCGGGTAATCAACTAACGAATACCCAAGGAATGTTACTTAACATGAGTTTTAGGGTATGCTTTAACTCGATAAGGTACGATTGAGGGTGGTCAATTAGCAAATATCTAGATTTGAGTGGTGAATTTGCAGATATGGTTGATTTGTGGAGTGTTTAGGTAAAACCCCTTTCTGTTAATGTGGGGGTGTTGAGTGGCATGAGGATGCATTCTTGGATAGATTAATGTGAGTGGTGCATCTGTTATCTTGCAGTTTTGATGAATTTCTCATTAGTATTGTGAATATTCTTGTCAAGAATACGGGAAAATTTTGAACATATATCCCACAGAAAAAGAAAAAGAAAAGTGAACTAACTTATGTGACTTGATCCCATTTCTGTTCTGCGAATAATAGCTGCTGCTGTTCCAATTTCTAGCTTTTCATTTATCTTGCTTGAAACTGAGAGAGAAATGAGATTTCTGGGTTCTGAGTTTTCAACTTAAATTTCAAGTTGAAATCAAAGTTCCGTCTTTGTCTTAAGAGAATATTATATATGCAGAACATGTTTTCAGTCATGTTTATCTCGCTCTGAAGAAGTCAATTATATTTATGATAAAGAAATTAACATGCATGTATAATCCCTCGTTTCTCTAAGATTTTAATGCTTTCCCCTAACTTGCAGGTACAAGGAAAAACGTTGGGATGCAAAGCAACTTATCGGATCTGGTGGTATGCCATCATCCCATTCTGCGACAGTGACAGCGCTTGCTGTATCCATTGGGTTCCAAGATGGCTTTGGTGGCTCAATCTTTGCAACTTCAATGATATTAGCATGTGTTGTAAGTAATTCAACTTTTCTAACTGAACTACACTTATATGCACTGATCGGGTTTTTGATAAATCTGCAATATGTGTCCCCTTATTGCAGAGTTTTTTGTGTGAGAAAATATTGCAGAACCCCTATTTAGACCTATTATCTAGTTAACTTATGAGTCTATGTAAAAGTTGGCAATCGTGATATATTTTTGAGAACATGTCCATCATACAACACATATATTGATTCCTGCCATTTGTACCTGGCTAACTGCAGTTGAAAATACATCATAAAAGCAAACCCTTCACTTACAATTTGTAAAAGAAAATTGATGGTGTGACGTCACATATTGGACAAATTTTCATTATTTTCCATACATTTTTGTTGGTTTTCAGTTAAAATACGTACGAATAATTTTTATAAAATTTTATATGTAAATTGTAAAGTTAAATAAGATAATATAGGGCATGCAGCACGTCCATTTCTTTGTGCGGATGAATATGTAGTATATACTTCTCATTTGCACCGCTTTCTGGCAGGTAATGTATGATGCTTTTGGAGTTAGATTACATGCTGGAAGGCAGGCAGAGGTAGGTTTCTTACATCACAGAGTTAGTAACTTTGGTCTGCTTTTGCTTAACCACATCATTGTAAATTGATTGATTGATTCTTATTCACCATCAAATCATAGGATTTACATATTCCTTCTACTTTGAACAAGATAAGTGGAGTGGACACTGTACATGTAAATTGAACTAAATGAGTGTTTTTGTCTACATGGCATATGGCCGACCAACTAATCGGTTTTCAATTTGATGTAAACCCTCTTTTCTCGGACAACATAATTGAAGCTGAGTGTGATGTGTATGCACAAAAATTGAATGCCTATCTCAGAAGAATGAAGGGAATACATTAAAACTTTTGAAACATGGAAAAATTCATAATATTGACTACTGTTACAGAGTTAAATAGGTACGTCATGATTGTCATCTAAGTATACTACTGTTACAAAGGTAAATAGGTATTCATGATTGTCATCTAAGTATTTACCCCCCATCACATTGGAGCTATTGAGACTCCTCGAGTCATGAAAGCTCCAAAAAATAATATAGCCAGGTCATTTACGGCCAGCTTTATGTTGACACTACCAGTTGGTAATTATTTACTGGCCAAGGCAACTAAGCAATAAGGTTTTCGACTGCCAGTTATTCCGGAAGTCCTAATCCGTCATTCTGGTTATGCTGATCTAAAATGATAATATTTACTATTGGAGAAGTGAAAGAAGAAGTGAGAAAACAGACAAGACGTTATAATCTTCGTTGAGAATCTTGCAAAATTTCTGAGGATAGCCCAAAGATCCAAATGGAATCACATTCCCTAATCTTAAACTCGTGACCTTTGATTGTATCATTTACAATGAAAATTTTGGCAAACTTATAAACTGTATGCAACTGTTTTCATAGGCATACTTAACTATAGCTCAAAATCAAATCAAAGTAATATGTCAAATGAATACTGAAGCATCATCATGCGTTCTTGGTTTTGGAACGCACTAATTACATCTTATGTTTCTTTTACAACATGGATTTATATTTAATTTCTTTGCACGGTTATTTATTACTTACATTGTCTTGTTGTCTTATGATGATCTGAGCTAAGACAATAAGCTAATAACCAGCATTCTGAGTTTCAAAATATAAAAGCTTATCATATATTGCCTTCACATCCAACTTTTCTTATTAATACTTTGTTTGTTGCAACTAACTGAGATGGTTTGATCCATGCCCATCATCCTCTTATTCTAGTTATTATGGTTGGTTTTCAGGTGTTAAATCAAATTGTATATGACCTTCCAGCAGAACATCCTCTTGCTGACTCAAGACCACTGCAGGAACTTCTTGGTCATACCCCTCCTCAGGTCTTCCATTTAATGTTTTTTTTCTTCCCTTTTCTTATCTCTCATGGATGCCAGGGTTTCACATCTAGATTACATCTATTCCATGCATGCATAGCAAGTGGAAATTGTTGCTGCTTTAGGCCTTTTAATTTGCAAAATTACGTGGGAGAATCTTGATTCTCTTGTTAGGACCCCCAAGGTATTGAGAAAATTATATTACTGCTGACAAACTAATGGCTAAACCTATATAGCAATTTCTGTGGAGAATTTTCCATTGGATTGAAAGAACTCTCAATGTAATAGGGATAGGCTATTAACTTCCTGAGATATTCCATCCCATCCTTCTAGTCATCTACATTTGTCATGAACAGTGTTTTCAGGACGGTACTAATCACTGACCAGAAAGATGGGACATTGATTTTCTTCCACGTCAACCATGATTCATATTGGTTGAACCTGTTTATATAGGGTCATTCTTAGGTAAGCACATAGTTGATATAGATTAATATAGCAACAGCTGTCAAAAGTTGCGACGTATCGTCGGCTAGTGGGTTCTACGAAATATGGTTTGTTTGTAGGCACAACTTAGTATTGCTCTGTGACAATTTTCTTGAACTTCGAAAGACAACCCTTATTGTTCTGTTCCGTTCACGAAATAACCCGTTGTTAATGTAGTTGATATCTGGCCATGTCTATTCATTATCTACCAATTTTTTTCAGATATATTGTTAAAGGTTGGTCGCTAAGACAACAGTTTTCTTCTAGTACATTGTCTTGCAAGCATATGAGTTGTCTGAACTGAAATACGGTACAATAATGCACTGCAACTGTACCGCATTATGATCTTTTGGATTGAATTTCAGCCCCCTTTTCATTATTTTTCCAGGTTATTGCTGGCGCAATTCTTGGGGCAGTGACAGCCTCCATTGCACACTTGATCGGCAAACTTTGATTTGCACCCTTGATGGAGGAAGGACAACATTATGGATACATCTTGAATGCCAGTCTTTCGTCAATCCAGAGCAGCGCCAATGCAAAATTGAGATTCTTCGGTTGTGGAAAATCCTAGGCATGATATTTGCATCCAAATTTCCTTTGATCTGAAATCATTGTATTGTATGCTATGACCCTGTACATATGTTGTATTCTTTGAGAGAACAGATTCTTTCAACGTCCTTAACCATTTGTTTGTCACGTAGGGGTGCAAAAAAAAATTTCCGCATTCTGGGATAATAATATATGTTAGGATATGGATATGATTACAAATACGGATAAGATCCATATTTGAAATATCTAGATATATGTTTTGCAATTGTTTAAAAGGATCAAGAGATGTTCACCGCAGGTGACCCGGACCCGGACGGTTAGTGGTTTCCAATGTGATTCCCATGTTCTTGGGTTCGATACCGGGCTTGGTCGAGATGTCTTTCTGTATCCGGTTTTAGCGGATACGGATATGAGTTTTTCTTACCAATGTATATCTGTATCTGTATCCATAATTGGTAAACGGATATGGATATGGTAAATATCATATCCGAACGGCACCCAAACCATTTGCACGATGTCTGCTCACTGGAGTAAGTCGGATGCATTCGGTCTGGTAACGAGAAGGTGCAATGGGACATTTACAGCCTGCAAACAGCGGACGACAATCAACTTGCTTGGCTTTGCCTCTTAAAATTGCAATTACCCATGAAAGAAGCTGAAGAATTTGTCTGCCCAGATACATGAATACTCGATACATAACAGGTGCAGGAGTTTTTACGACTAAATACACTGACGAAGTTGATGGTGCATTCTCTGTATATCACTCAGTCAATGATTCCTCAATCATACTAAACTGAAGCCAGTATCTTAAACATAGTCCTCAGCCTAACCGTGCACAGGAAAGACAACATCTAGAAAAAAGAGAGGATCTGATGGCAAATAGATGGTCTGAGGCTTTCCAGTTTGTTGTCGGAACTTGCTGGCATCAAAACTGAATACCTTCATAAGAAATAAGGTGTGAGGACATAAAACTATAAAGTAAGATCCAACAGATTAGTTTTAAATCCAAAATCTAACATCATTCTTAAACGGTCAGATAATATACTTACTCGAGACGCCAACGACGGTTGCCGACTGCAGTACAAACACAAACGTGAAAGATCGAAAGAAGAAGGAAAAAAACCCACTAACAAATACAAGGTTTCTATACCAAAAATAAGGAAAACACAAACCAGCAATAACAAAATAACACCCTTACATTGAACTATATTGTCGTATGGTAATTTACAAGCAGAGTAAATGTTCATGTGCACTACACCAGGCATTTAAGTACATAAATAAGCAAAATAGTTCCTGCCCGCAACATTTGCCTATCGTGTCCAAATGCCAATTCCAAAATCTGTGCTAGAAATGCCATCAAACTCATGTTACATCTCACCATGAAGATTCATCTGGACTGAGTGTTGATTAGGGAACACCCTTAAACGGGTCCATCAATCTTAGATCGACTGGACCGGGACCCAAGATACCCTTTTCTTGGTTGGGATGGTCGACAGCTGCCTCCGACCGTCTTTGCCATTCCTGCTGTTTCGATAAACATACACAAAAGCAACAACGATTTGTTAGATTTGTGGGATAAATGTGGGTTCTGACTAGACAATAAATAGGCTAGGTTTCATAAAACCAACATGAAGCTTCTTTCATTAGAGGAAACTACCATAAACTTTCGAAACTGCAGAGAACTACCATGAAATATTGGAAATTATTGCTAGGTGCTTTAGGATCTGGGATAAAAGTTCTAAACTATTGTTATTTACATCTACCAACCCACAAAATTCATAAGAATAACGTATAAGATGTACAATAAGTCAATAAGGACAAAATTGTCCAAAGCATGTCATGTCTGAAAAAAGTTCATGAAAGTTTCTTTAGTAAGAAAAAACCATGCTAGTTTGTGCAAGAACAAAGTTCATTATAGTGTTGTGAAATTTACCCTAACATATACTTACCTCTCCGTACATGCCATCTCCATCAGGCAACATTGGTGAGAAAATCGGGGGAGCAATATCTGGATCAGGCTTTTGAAATACAAAAGTAGAATACAGACCTGCAGCAGATTGGTGGTGCGTTCAGTATACTGCACCATGACAGAAAATGATAAGCATGAATGTGAAATTAAATCAAGTACCCAACACATCAAATGCACGAATGAGAAGTTTTCCTCGGGGATCCACGAAATGGGGACCATAACTATGGAGTATACCTGCCAGTTGTGCTCTTTGAGCAAAGTCATGCGAATCAGGTCAGCCGGATCTAATAATGCATTCTTCTACTTATTTAAATAAAAAGTAGAAAAAACATGTTAGCCACATCTATCATATGTAAATAAAGTAGTTCAAATTTGCAAGAGTAAACGGAAAGGCAATCAGTAAGATGCACTTTGTTAGACCCTTTAGTTTGTAAACAAAAGAAAAGAAAATAGTCTGAAAACTTGGTAGTCCATAGAAGATTGAAGATTTGGGCTGGTTTGCTACTTTGTGCAAATGAAATCCTGACAACATATTGGTTATGAGTAAAGACATGGTATCAATTTGCTGATTCCACCGGCAGCAAAACCGCATTACGTGTGCATGTGCATGTGCATGTTTGGATGTGCGTGAGCATGACTGAGTATCCACATGCGCATGTTTATGTGATTATCAAGCTTGCTGGTTTTTAGGGAAGCAAAAGCGTAGAATATATGTCTCATTGTTTTACTAAATTAATATTTACATAGATTTTAGTGCAGATGTAATTTCTTTAGGACATGTTTTCTGATAACTTAATATCGCTAAGATTTAGTTATACCTCTTCAAATCAGACACCATCTCAAGTTTTGAAGCTCACGCAATCATCTTTATGTACTAAGATCCATAGAGAAGGAATCAGAAAGCTTAAGCGTTGGTATCTTCCACATTTGGATATCATACAGATGAATGTTATTGGATTTGAGGTGATGGTTCTGGGTTGAACCTCTGCAGTTCAGTCATAAGATATCTGACAATTATATCATGTTCACGTATTGCAGTATTAGAAAACATAAGCCTGACATCAAATCATCAAAATATAATTTGCTAGTACAATGAGCAACAACACAGACAGAATGTCAAAGTTATAATTTAAAAATATGAAGCTGGAAATATTACCGGTTATCATCATAGAACTCGGTCCAGTTTTGTATCTCGACGAATTCCAAACCAGCCTCTCTAGCCAACCTGATACAATATGATGATATCATTGTAAAATCAGTGCAATTGTCATTTCTGAGTGAAATTAAAATGCAAACACAAAAGTAATAAATCTTAACCTGATCAAGCTTGGAAAATGCACCAAACAATGAATTTCAGATGCCATATCATCAGAAAATTTCAGCTGACACTTCTTTCCAAATAAAGGGAATCTGGAGATTCATATGGACATCCAAGTTGAGAAAATGAACAAGGAAATAAGAAATCTAGAAACTATAAAGAAATAAAATAAAATTAGAATTATTAGATTGCTCATTGTCCATACTTTTCTTCCTCGACTTCAAAAGTGATGACATAGTTTTCTGATCTAATACAATTTGGAACCGCATTAGGCTTCAAACCCCTATTGTGAGAAGCTTCAACATTCTTTTGGTACTTTGTCCTGAAAAGTTATCAAGAGTTGTAGTGCAGGAATAATAAACTAGAAGGGAGCTCTCAGGATGATTACAAATCTGATGAAAATGCTAACAAATTGAAAGAGATGTCACTTCACAAGATGGTATATCGTGAAAATGTCAAGTACAAACCATATAGTAGATGAATCCAAAGTAATACCAAAGAAATATCCCCCCGGTCTAAGCAAAGCCGACACATTCTGTAAAAGGCTTCTTGCTCTCTCCTCGCTTTCAAAACAAACCTAAAACAGAATTAATTTCTCTTCAGCTAGAGCTTGCAAAAAACAGCATACACAATAATATCATCAAGATCTTAACTCACCTGCACATGCTGCAAACAGCACACTATGTCTGCGGGGACGCCTTTATCTTGCAAATGCAACTCTAGATTTTCCTGCGCACATTTCAATTAAAGAAAAGCAAACTAAAAAACATCATTATTTTCTCCTATTTTCTCAGAAAAGCTACCATGGTCTATTTACTTCAAGTTGATATCATGAAATCCAAAGTTCACAGTAGTTCCTACTGTAAAATTGTGCAAATTCAGGACAGGGTAAGCGAAGGTAGATGGTTAAAATGCTGATTTAGTTCCGTGCTTCGTACCAAGTAGTAGTACTTGATGGACGGTGGTTCTCTCACATAAATAAAAGTTTCAACTAGTTTTCCGACAAAATAATGAAAGTCAACGTTAGTTTCTTGAAATTTACCCTATAGAATCATTTCTTTTCATGGTACTTTTTATGGCAGTTTTGTTAAAACTTAGGAAGGGAATGGTAAGTGACGGTAAATGAAGTAACTGGCTAATTTACTTTCATGCTTATCACCTAAGTGGCAGTTTTCACGCTAACTTTCCAACATTAAATAATGAAAGTTCATGCATTTTCTTCAAAATTTAATCTTTTTTGCCAAAAAAAGTAAATTGTTAAGGATTTATTCTACTTACAACGGAAGGATCGAATTCGCAGAATTCAGCGGTGTAAGGCTTCAGATCACTCTCCCAAACCTCCCGAGCTTCACTGATCCCAGAAGACGTCTCATCTGAAAAATCCAAACTTTAAAACAATTAACGCCTAACAAATCTAAAACACAAACTTTTAGGGTTTAAGATTAAAAACGCACCGATTCCGATGTAGTGTCCAATGTGAACATCTTCCCACTTATCGATGTCGGCGGCAGGGCCACAGTAGAGATCGCAGACCGTGGCGTAGGGCGAGACAAAGATCTTGATCAGGGCGGACTTCGCGAAGTCGTAGAGGCGGTGGTGG